AATTAAGTAAATTACAGGGCGATCGATTTGGATAATTTTTTTGCTGGCCCGATTGTTTTGCCGCTGAGTGCATTATGCTTTTGCTGTATTTCACTCATCAAACTTCTATAATATGCTGATGATGATTTGTTTTCTATTCCATATAAGAACATTTTAAACTTCAGTCCAAATTGTAATCGCAATATTTATACAAGTGTCGCAGTCGGATAATACCCACCAGACCTTATGTCGCAAAAGCTGTTGATGACGGTCTTATATTATTATTATTATCACGTCAAACGCCAGCAGTTAATAGATCGGGAGGAAACATTACACGATATGATTGTTTGTTCTTGTTGTAAATATCTCAGGTTCCTTGAAAAATTTCATGTTTTTATTTTTTATAATAAAATAATGAAGACATTGATACGAATCAACAGAGAGGAGGTTTAGTCTTGAAAATCGTATCGATTTCAGAGAATTAGGGCAAGATGCAATTTTCATAAAACATAGATACGATCAAATCTAATCGAAACGTTATCAGGCGACACACAGACTTACTAATCATGCTTGACTGAAATTTTATCTTCAAAGTTTGCTATCGTTTTATTGTGCTTGTGCAGTACAGTGAAAGTATAATCTTCCTTTTAGTATAGAGATATTGATAATAATCAAGATAAAAAAGTTGGGACAAAGTGGCAGGATTGAGGCTCAAGGCTAAAAGATGACATACGAAGACACATAAATATTATGTTATTAAAGACTTCCACAAAGGGTTCAGAGGATCAGATCGAAATGCAAATGCATTAGGACTTTTTGAAAAACCAAGATGAAAGTGGATACAACATCATTATCAAAATCGAAGTTAATTGGAATTGCATTCAATCGGCTTTTCGTCAAGGAGTATAATGATTTATGATTCATACAATTTAGTTTTTTATTCGATTTAGGTATTTGTAAGCTAGACCAAGCATTTCCCTAATCTCAATGAAATTGCAAACAATTATAGTGAAAGTGCAATAGAAGTGCATTCATAATATTCGATACGATAAAAACAATGTTTGTTTGCAATGCTATCATGTGGAATAATGCCCCTGGGCCAACATCAGACCTATTTATATCACTTCACGTCGTAGATGTGTCTTAAAATTCTTGTTTTGAACATCTAGCAGTGCCTTCGTGATCGAAATCTAATTAGTTATGAGTGATATCAAACATTTTATGACACGGAATGGATAGGTAGGGCGTCCTAAAATAATCTACAGCTCCCTTCGAACACAAAACAACCCACGTGCATTCTACTATTTTGCAACAATCGCGAACACGCTTTGCTAGTAGGTATAATACGACCACGTGTCTAGATTTGCTTCGTTCTTTCGGTCCACAAAGAGTCGATGTTGATCGTTGAATTAGTCAAAGCACAGTAGAGAGCTTAAGGGTTCGACACGTTCGAATAGCACAAAAACAAGAGAGCTACTGTCAATAAACGAGACACGAGACGAAAAAGCGACCGGTCGCGTGGAGATCAGTGCTAGATAATCTGTCACTAATTGTACACACGAACAGACAGCGACTAATAGACTAACGAAAAAATCGCGGCCATGTGTGAACAGTCGATTCGACAACAAACCCGCTGGCCGGGCGATGTTGCCAGTTCGTCCGGAAGAGATTTCTGAGGAATTTTGGCGGGTTTGCGACTATCGATCCTCGCCTTTTGCCCGTATCCGGGTTGTGTTGGGCGTGCTTCCGAAATATCAATGTCACGGATAGGACCATGGACGTATAGGAAATTTTGATTTGGCGCCGAATAATTGAACATTTATTGGCAGTTCGAAGTAACAAATTTGTGATTTGGCGCCGAATAATTGAACATTTATTGGCAGTTCGAGATAACAAATTTGTTTATGTGTATGTCACTACACCTTCTTCATTTTCCAATTATAATTCAGAGAGTATGAGTTTACACCTTTTTCAATTTCGCCCTGTATCCCAAAAACGAAGCGAGTTATGAATTTTTTATTGCGCTAGCGTGTTTCACAAAAAAGTAGCTAACGTTCGCGAAAACCACAAATCTCTATCTTTGAAAATAAATGAGATATTCCGTAAGGACACCGAAAATTTGACAGCCTGTATAAAGTGCACTTCGAGAGAAGAACAGGCTCTTTCATATCCGATATAGCCAATGCTTGGGTGCTATGATTATTGCAGCCATGGCAAGCTCAAGGAAATTAATTATCTATCCGATGTTTTCCTTGCCATTCCAGATTTGAAAACGTTCTGGGCAGAACTGAAACAAGTATTCTTCGTCTGGGTCCATACTTTCCAATGTTGAACCCAACTAAAACAATCCGGTCCAAAATAAAGTGTAATACCAAAGTGAATCTTCGAGTACCACAAGTGGAAGGTCCGAGTGTTAGAGAATAACGACTTGAACAGAATATTCACCATGCTGCAGCTCTGGTATATAAAATATTGATGTTCAACACATAATTAACCATTCCTTGTTCTCTTCATTCTCTACCCTTATTTAAGTCCATGGTAGTTTCTGAACTATCACAAGTGATGCTTTATGAATTACAATCAACTAATTGACTGACGCTTCATGATGTGTTGATACAAAGTTATTACATACAGGGAGTACTTCGTGTTTTTCTTATTACGAATATTTATTTAGTTGTTGTCCTAATTAACTTAACACGAAACAACTCAGTATAATTCATTGAGTCCAGAAGAAATATCATCATTAGAAAACGTTCAAATCAATCTACGTTTTTATAAAAAAAAAATTACTGTCGCTAAGATGAGTTTTTCTATCATTTCTCGCGCATAGTATTCAAGAAACTATTCCATTTACTTTTTAGTAGTAGCTTGAGGAGTTCTTTGTCAGTCACCTTAAATGCAGAAACACAAGTACTCCTAGTCTCCAAATATAACGTATGGAAATGCATGAAATTCAATTCACGAAATGCGATAAAAACACAGCTGACCCATCAAATATCAATTATCACACTAAAATCTATCATTTGGCAACCACGCGCGAACCGCACTTGTTTACATTGACAATACGTGACAGCCCATGAAAGATCAAGGGCCTGGCAACGTTGTTGCCAAGTAGTATAATATATCTCTCTTCTGAAGACTCAACAGGTCGTTTTTTTCCAAGTCACCGAATGAAAAAAATCAAACTCTTGAGAGTTCTTAGAAATAGTGATTTTCCTAACACGTGCGGAAGCGGGAAAGCAGTCGAGTGCGGGAAAGACACTTTCCGCATGAGTTAGGAACAATATTTTTTCTGTAAGCGTAGGAAATAGATTGATTTGTTCAATGCAATCTACTAATTATTAGTAATTATTGCTATTTTGGATGATGTACAGTTTGACGCATTATGTATAGGTTCATTGCGGAAGCCAGCATGCAGCATGCTCATAAGGTGTTTGGCCTGTAGGCTTCAGATATTTCTAGGAAATGAGCCAAAAATACATAATCATTCTTTATTTTATATTTTCATTTTTTTATTGTTGCACCATTCAATAAATCGCGTGTATTGCTTATCATACCTTTCTTAAGACTTTGTTGGCAATAACGCATCTGTAGCTAGAAGGTTTTGATCACAAATTTTTTTGGATGCTTACGATGCTCGAAGAATTCGAAAGGTGCAGAACTCATGTCTTCGTCTTATATATGGTGTAGAAAAAGACAAAGGATTTCTTGTGAGTTGAAGGATACAGGCTGGCTGAACATGTTCAATAGACGAAAATTACATTCCATTTGTTTCTACAATAATATCTTTATAACCTCCAGAAATTCAAGAAGAACACCAATTCCTACCTAATTTCCCTTGGTTCTCACGATGTTCTCTGAACATTACATTATATCCCTTTTCGTGGGAACCAGAACATTCGGATATACATAATTGAAACTTGGGACGAAAAAATAATATTGGTATAGTTTATCCAAAAACAATTGCAGAGTCTCGGGCCGCATCTGCACTCATTTCAAAGGGAACTTCAAACACGCCGACGCCGCACAGTGCGGGATATTCTGCAATTGATATTGTATATACTACATACCTTTCCATAACAAGCCACTTTTCAAACGTTCTTTTTCCTATAAAATTTCTCAATATGGACATATTTTGGATATACCTCATCATGCATCGTCGGTGAATATCTTTAAATACAAACTCAAAAAACGATTACGAGCATTGTGGAAGAATCGGCCTCCTAACATAACGATTTGATACAACAGTAAATTTTTATTTTTCAATATTTCTTAATTTTCATAATAAATAGTGCAATTTGATGGATGATTCGGAACAAACATACTTAAAACTGCAACAAACAAGCATAAACTTTCATATTCCATTACCAACCACTTATATTTTGCGATAATATCAACATTGTTTTTTTGCTCGCACTATTGTAGGAAGTGTGGGGAAACAAATGTAAGATTATCTATGTCAATGTCAAAGTTCCCCGAAATTCTGCTGGATAGCCTTGTTTCCAAAAATGTACAGAAACAGTGGTGTGGTGTCTTGTCCAAAAAAAAAAATTAAAGTTACACACAACTTTTACATCAACAGAGAAGAAGATATCCTAAAGTAGAGGCCAAATGGAACGAATGAAAAGAATTATCGTGTGAAATCTCATGTTCTGGTGACAATCAAAACATGTTAACCCTCATTTTTTCGAAAACAAATTTAATATGACTGGTGTGCCGATATCAGTTGATGAAAGGTCGCAAGGTTGTTCTCCATCGTATTAGATATTGGAAGGCCAACAACTTTATATTTACACATTTGAATTATTGGATAGAGAAAGAAATCAGCACAAGTTATTCACTATAGTATGTATATCCGGTTATTGACAAGGAGAAAATTCAATATCAGCTAATTTTACACCGATAATAACTAAACATAATGTATGTAAAGGTAAAATGGAATAGCTTCTCGACTTATCTAGAATGTATGGAAAGTTGAAACTACTTACCAGCAATATACTTATAATGGAAGGTGTACTCACCAAGTTGTTGTTTCTGTAACAAGAAAAAAATCCATTAGTCAACCAATAATATAGTTTCATTGATGATAATATGGACGTGATATTTGTGACAGGATACAGGGAGATATACCCCAGCTGTCAAACGTGGAGCCCCTACAAGTTTTAAGATTTTTCGTCAATCGCTTACAACTCTCAGAGTGAAATAAGAATTCCCAATCCCAATATAAGGCATGGAGCTGTCTGTTTTTGAGCCATATAAAAATCTAATAGCAAAAGTGGACAATGTTTATCGAAATAGGACAAACGGCAAATGAATTCAAGTAAAAAAAGCGAGATGGAAATAAAAATACATGGAAGGAAGAAATAGAGTCGAATTAAAGCGAGGGCGAGACATCAAACAAGAGACAAATATCTCTACCAAAGATTTTTTGATACACAGACTATACAGGGTGTTTCAAAATTCAGTATCAACATTTCAGGGACTTATTTATCAAGTCAAACTCAGTATATCACTATCATTCCGTGCTCGTTAAACAGAGCTGAAATCATTCGAGTGCATTCCGTGCAAGTTATACACTATAATTTTTCTACGGCTATAATAGATAACAGCGGCATTTTCGATTTCCCAAGTAGAACATCACATTGGCTACAACTTGGTGCCATATTAGCCCAATATTCGAATATTGAAAATGGAAATTCTAGATTGCCCCAATATCGAACCAATTTTTCTTCTCAATATTCGATCATCAATCCATTGCCGATATTGTAATAACATTGAAATGATGTGACTAGCCGATATCAATTTGCCAATATTCATTTGATATTGGAGAAATATTAACGATCACAATATGTCAATTTTCATGATGGGCTGATATTGCATTTCCAATATCGAATCAATCTTGGAAAAAAATATCGACCCAATATCCGATTGATGATGGTTAGTGAATATTTCATATCAATGTCCAGCAATGTTGTGCTAACATTAAAATTTTGTTTCCAGCCGATATTTATTTGCCAATATCTATTTGATATTGGTTGAATATTAACGATTACAATATGTCGATTTTCATGATTGGGCTGATATTGTATTTCCAATATTGAATCAATCTTGGGAAAAAAATATTGCATCAATATCAAATTCATGATGGTTGGTGAATATTGCTTTTCATTGTCCAGCAATATTACATCAATATTGGTTCTTCGATATCATTTCGATATTCAATAATCAATCCAGTGCCAATGTTGTAGTTACATCGAAATTTCGGACCAGCCGAAATCAGCTTACCAATATTCATTTGATATTGGCGAAATTTCAACGAATACAATATGCCAATTTTCATGATGGGCTGATAGCTGATATTGTATTTCCAATATCAAATCGATCTTGGAAAAACATATTGTATCAATATTTTTCATTCAGCCAATATTAGTTCATCAATATAAGACCCATTTCAGATAGATATAACTAATGAAATATGCCAGAACCAATATTGCATTGATATTGGATTTTTGATATCAAATCGATATTCGTGATATTTTTCTTAGTATTTGAGCTACGTTATAACAGCTGGCGCCACTAGCACGTCTCCAACAAACGACTGCTCAGTGGCATCAAATACCGCTGCATTTCCTTAACTTGCCAACTTGGTATTCTGGGATACAGAAAACGACAATGGATCGGATATTGTACAAATATCGCATTTATTTCAATGAGGCTGATATGGCTTCAAATTTTGAATTTGAGTTTTGTTGAGAAACGAAATTCAATATTAATTGAATATTATGATTCAACATGAAGATAATATTGCAGAATGATCACATCCTTATTTCAGCCAATATAATAGGATAATATGAATTCAATATCGATTTCACATATGAGAATTATGAGAAACCGGTTTTCTATAAGTAGGCATGCATCATATATTTGTCCAATATTGTATACGAATATCAACTCGATATTGGATAGAGCACATCGAAACAAGATTAAAATTCAACATAGCACCAAGATTCCAGAATGTTCACATTGATTTATTGGCCTAATAATTGAAACTGATATTTTCCCAACATTCACCATTTATTGGCTCAATATTGAAACGATATTAGTGTTCTACCTGGGTTCTTCGTCTTGTAGCCATCTGATTTCCTGTCAAGTAATGAGTTCAACCTTCAAGTAAATACTCCAAGTTCAACCTTCAAGTTTAACATCCAAGTTCAAACTCCGAGATCAACCTTCATGTTCAACCTTCAAGTTCAAACTTCAAGTTCAGCCTGCAAGTTCAACCATCTAGTTCAACCTTCAAGTTTAACTTCAATTTCAACATTCAATATCATACTTCGAGTTCAACCTTCAAGTTCAACCTCCAAGTTCAAACTTCAAATTGAACCTCCAAGTTCAGAATTCACGTTCAAACTTCAAGTTCAACTTTCGAGTTGAACCTTCAAGTACATCCTTCAAGTTCAACCTCCAAGTTCAAACTTCAAGTTCCACCTTCAAGTAGAACCTTCATCATTAGACAGAGCTGTTATTGCTTCACATTTGACATTCCATGTGCGATGAGATTTTTTTGACATAGTAACACAATGGAGTCATTGTGATATCAGATACGGAAATAATATTGATGATATACAAAGTACCTCATTGACGTATGGAACACAGTAAAACAAGAGCAATTTTGTGTTATAGTCGTAGAAAAAATACTTTGTTTCCTATAAATTTGTGTCTTATTATTTAGGTAATTTTTGGAAACTTGTAATCAAGATCACAAACTAAATATGCAGCGTTTTTTAATTTTCATTGAGATAAAACTGATGAAAGGTCAGGAGAAGGTTATAGGTTTTTATTCCGGTACCATTAGGAAATTCAAGATGGTGTACCTAGGGGTTTTCGTGATCAAGGATTATGATTCCTTCGTCAAAATTAGGAAATTCAAGATGGCGGATCCAAAATGGCGGATTTTGGTAATTAGTATCCGATTTTAATCAAATTTGATATCTGGTGGTTCTCTGGGTCGGAGATTATGATTCTTTCGTCACAATTGAGAAATTCAAGATGGCGGACGAGTATTGTAATTATGATCCGACTCTCTTCGAAATTGATCTGGGTGTTTTCGGGGTCGCAGATTATGATTCTTTCGTCAAAATTTGGAAAGGGCGGGATTTGGAAATTCAAGACGGTGGAACCAATATACCGGACGAGTTTGGTAATTATATACCGAGTCTATTCAAAAATTTGTGGGCGTTTTCGGGATCAAAAATTATGATTCCTTCGTCAAAATTAGGTAATTCATGATGGTAGATCCAATATTGCGGGCGAGTTTTGTAATTATGTTCCGATTCTATTCAAAATTTTCATCTGGGGTTTTAGGAGTCGGATATTGTGAAGTTGAAAGAAGTAGAAATAAATGGTACTTTGAAAACCTAAAGAAACACGCTTCTATAGATAGCGAAACTAAGAAGAAGTAGAAATAAAAATGAAATAATAATAGTGTCTTGATGAATATTGAACTGAAAAAATATATTATAGAAATAATGTATATAGCAAAACAACGTTTGCGAGATCTGCTAGTATTACATAAACACCAACTGAGACACATACACTGTTCTGGTTGAGCACAAAGTTCCTTAGGCCCGACGCCTCCAAACTCCTAGGATCCAAAGAGTTGCTCCTAGGCTTCACGAATGCCGGAGGTTCTTCTTCAACGCCGCTGGTACTCTTGTTGCGATTCCTTTGGAAATATTGAAACATCTCGCATCGTCCCGATCACATTATCACTGTCATGGTTCCACGAGAGATACACTTTTGCTTCTGATAAACACGAGGTCGTGATCACATATTTGATGATTTACGAGCCCGGCTTACACCTAAATGCTTGGATGTTGTAAATAATCCATGCCAAGTGTCATAAACAGTTTAATAATGGTAAATGGATGTCCCCTCCCCCCTTTGCCTGCACACGTTATCATCGGTAGGTGAAAAATGTCGTGTATGTTTTTCAATGATCCAGGAGCTAGATAAAAAGTAATTTTTGCATGTGCAAATGTGCCATTAAAACATGAAGTTTATTTACGAAATACAAATATCATTTTTTGTATAACTGTGAATGTGAATTCACAAAATTGAGATTTCTAACAAAATATTGAATTGCCCATCTTCTTCCGGACAAATTTAAATATCTGATGAAATTGTGAAATCAATTCTTCAAGGAATATTTAACTTTTCTGATCAGCAGAAACATGAAACATCTTCAATTTCAATTATTATTCCAATAATTGAAATTGTATTATGATGATGAATAATAAGTTAATAATAATTGAGTCAGTTAAAAATAAATCCTTCATAAAGAAATATTTCATATTTATTTTGTGAATTATTTTGGCAGTGGAAAAAAGTAAACATTTACGCATCAATAGAGATGCAGAAATGTAAATTTTTTTACAGGTGTACAAAATGAGATTTTTTTATTGGGAACATTCATTTTTAGACTAACGAAATCATGTTTTTTCACCACTTACTAATGTAATGAGAAACTTTACAGCACTAATGAGGTAAAGTATATAAAAATAATTTCTAATTTCAGTTTTTCACTGAAAACAAAAAAAAAAGAAATATAACTGACTGGTCATGTAAATAGCAGGTACTGAATATTGATTTGCTCCATTTGCCGCAATTTCTATATCTGAATCTATACTTTCGTAATCGGAATTGATTTCGATAAAATTTCTTCTCAAATTGAAATGAACGCGTCAAAACTGACAGTTTGCAGAATGAGTGACAACCGAGAACACAACAGATCCACGACAAGTAGGCATACACACAACCCAATATTAACTATTTATGATTGAATAATTAGCATCGTAATATGAGTCTTTACGATACTTGTGATATAAATATCTATCATATCTCCCGATCACCTGCTTTACCGCTTGCCCGCTGTACTCGTTCACCGCCCTAGGGCGCTAAATTTCTACTTTACGTCGGCGAATCCGGGCGATAAAGAGCCACTTTACGCCTGGTCGTGCATAAAGAATAATATT